CTTCTACTTGACTTCAAGAGTGAGAATGATCGTGGGAGAAGGCACCAGCAGGCCCGGTGCAAAATCGGGCAACGACCTCTCCCGCCTCCCCTGGACACCACCGGATCCCAGTTTCTGGAGCTGGTGGGGTCACTCCCCGCCTTGTAGTGTGGGCTCATGAGACGGATGAAAATGGAGGCAGCACTGATTCAACCTGGGGAGACAGCCCCCTGGGGAGCGGAGGGGGCGGGGCAGTCGGACGGAGAGGCTCCGGGGTCGCCAAAGGGGCCCGACTTTCTGGGAGTGACCACCCTGCACCGTCAGAAAGTCGCCCGGCTCCCCGGTGCTCCGACACTGCAAGGCTGCAAGGTGCATACTCGTAAGCACACCGTCCTGATGCGTCTGAGCTTCCAGGTCAACCTGAACACGCCCACTCCGACAGCCCCCTCCCAGGCAGTGGAGCCGACTCCCAGCCCTCTGGGGGTTCTCGGGGTCCGCATCTCACCCCCAGGGAAGGGATCTCTTTCTCTCGGTGCTCGGGTCACCACAGCCGCCGCAGCTCTGAGCTGACAATGCGACACCTGTCATGCAGCGGTAAAGATGTGCCACCCAGGGGCTTGGATAAGGGGGATGGATGCTGGCCGTGGCCTCGGGGGAGCAGGGTGCAGGGCCCTAGGGAGGGACTGATGTATTCGTGCCAGACTGTCCCTTACTCTCGAGGCAGACAGTGTCATTTCCTGTCTGCTGCACCAGGGACGGGGCTCATCCCACAGGATCTCACTTCATGTACGCAGGGGTGCTGCATTCCAAGCCGAGGAACAATCACCCAGGCTGGCTGAGGGGTTCAACCCGAGGGCAGAAGCAGCAGGGGCCAGGTGATACTCGAGGGGGGCTGTTTCCACCGTGCTCTGCATGCCCCTGCTCACACATACTTGCGGCTACCCCCCCCCCCAACATGCACAGGCCTCACGCCGTTCTGTGCAGGCCCGCTGTGAGAAAGGCTTCAGAGACGGTGTGGATGTGAACTCCCAGCTTTGCAGAGGGCAGAGCTCCACAGCAAAATTTATGGCAGTCCTTCCAATCTTATTTTCTCTCAACTCGCTGAATAAATTCAGCCATCTTTCTGCCTGGAAATTGGATATTCTCACCAGACACCAGCCTAGGGTTTGCAAAAGACTAGAGGACCTGAGTGGTCGGTTGGAGAAGCAGGGGCACGCCCAGGCCAACCTCCGTGTGACACAATTTTCCAGAGATATTTATTCAAAAAGAGGATATGGAACATTTCATTGAGTCCCAAAGCAAAAAGTGCCAGAGATTCAATGGTGTCATGTTCAAAAGAGCCAGGATCAGACGCTCCAGTGGCCAAATTTAGGTTACTGTGAGCAAAATGAATAAACCAGGGATAGATTAACACACATTGAGTAGGTAAAATTATCCACAAGTTCATGCTGATGCTAAGTTATAAAAGGGTGAGAAAGGAAAGCTGTGGTTTTTTTTTTAAAGAATGCCAACTAATTCAAGGAAAAGGAATGCTAGAAACAGGAATTCTATCTATTTATCACGCTCATCAAGGGGATGACTGATTCAGGTAGACTCATCAGTGGATCCCAAGCCCGAGTGGGAGGTTCTTGGGGAAGACAACATTCCCGGTCTCAAGTCATCCGAAGAGAGGATGACACTCCAGTCCGTCCCCAGAAGAGAGGACGGTAGACAGCTTGCTGTGGGCAAGCCCTGCCCTGACCCATGACTGGCTAACGGGCATTTGGGTCTGAAGCACTGAGAGAACACACCTGTATAATATTCTTGCCAAAAAAGCTTAATTGCGAATTTCACTGTGAGGCTATCAAGGCAAAATGCACACTGTGGAGAGTCCTTCCGCAAAGCTGGCAGGACTCTCAAAAATGTCAACGCCAGTGTCTTCCTCGAGGCGCAGGGTAAAGTCTCAGCGCTGTGCTGCTATCCAGGCTGTGGCTGGGGTTCAATATCTGGCCGGGAGTGACCCCAGGGCGCAGCAGACCTCTCCTGTCTTGCTTGCAGCTCGCCCCACAGTGGGTTTCAGTAGATCATCTGTTCTGCTCCCCACTCTGTCTCTGGTGAATCCTCTCACTGCCCCCCACACCTCTGTGCTACACTCCAGTTCTTATAGATGTAAATAAATCTTTAAAACAACCAAACCAAAGTACGCCAGTGCCGTGAAAAGTAAGATAAAGCAATAAGGAAAGTTCTAGATTAAAGAAATCTGATTAAAGTTCACGGTGTGGTCCTGACTGGATCCTGCATCAAGCAACAGCAATAAAAATGGTCCCAAGGACATACTGGGACAGATGGAAATTTTGAATTTGGACTAAGTATTGGATCGGAGTATTGTACCTAGTGAAAACCATTTCTAGTGAAAGTTAGGTCGGGGTTTGGGGGAGGGGAAGGCCTGGCTCTTAGGAAATGTTCCTTGGGGGAAGTGACACCATGCCTGCCGTGGGGAGTGAGCATCAGGAGTCAGGCCCTCGTTGGGGGCAGGGTGGGGAGTGACGAGTCCTTTCTTGCCAATGTGGTTCCAGCAAGGTGGGGGGGGGTACCACACCCAGCCGCCAGAGTACACGCATGACCAGGCCTGGCCAATCACAGTGCGTGAGCCATGCTGCTTCACTGTGATTGGCCAGGGGTGAACTGAGCTGGGCCAATCAGAATCCTGCCCTGGGAGTTTCTCTGTGGCGCTTTCAAGGCAGTTTCTTCCCTCCCGAAAGCAGTGGCTGTCAGCCTGTGACCCCTGAACTGATGGGGCTCCCTCACCCCAGGAAAACTGAGTCTGCGTCCAGCGGTGGGCACAGCTGAGCAGCCCCAGGGGAGCGGGGCTGGCAGGGCCATGTTCTAGACCCCACGTCCTGGGACCCCGAAGCTCTGACCTCACTTCTGTGATCTACTTGCGGTGCATCGTGGGAACACTGGGAAGGCGGAGTGTGGGGGTGACGGACAGTCACAAAGGGCAGAGAGTGGAAGAGGGGGAGAAGGAGGAGTGGGGAGGAGGAGAGGGAGAGAGACAAAGGAGAGGAAAGAGACAGGGAGGGAGCGAGAGGGAGATGGAGGGAGCACGTGTCCCCCCAGGGCCGGCGCGATCCAAGGGGAGGGGCGAGGTCTGCGCACAGACCAGAGAAGGGGGCCTGTGTGGGGAGCGGTGCTGGGACCAGGCTGGCAGGGCTGACCCCACGGGCGGCCCGACCCTTCAGAGCATCCATGGCCACCCGAGGAGCGGAGACCTCCCCTGGGGGGTGGCACGTTCTCAGTGCAGGAGGTCCTGCTCAACCAGCACCTGGCACGGAGCTGCCGCCAAGCCCTGGCAGCCGGTGCTGGGAGCTGGGGGCGAGGAGCAAGCGGCTGAGTTTCCCAGGCAAGCTCGTTCATGGCCCCAAGGGACCCCCCAGCCTCTGACGTGGAACGTCTGCTTTCTCCCCGCTACAGTGCCCTAGACTTGGACCCTCCGACTCCACGAGAGGAGGGAACAGACTGAAGCTCCCGACCCAGGGTGGTATTTGACGGCGCCTGACATCGGTGAGCTGGTGACTCCAAGCCTCCGCTCGCTCATGTGCAGGAGGAACAGAACGGAACCCGCCCACAGGATCGGGAGAGATGAGCCAGGACCTCGCAGGGTGACATCGCCATCGCTACCCCCAAGTCAGTGTCACTGTCGGCCACCAGTGTCATCTTTACCGGCACCATCGGCTGGGCCTGCTGCCCGGCGGCTTCCAGGGACAGAGCTGTTTCAGAGGACGCCCAGTCCACGGTGGGGCAGGTCTGAGTCTCAGGCTGAGAGGGAGTCTGTGCCTGGACACCTCCACCCCTGGGTCCCTGCGAGTCCAGGGCACCAGAATGGCTTGGAGCCTGGTTGAGCGCCTCCTGGATCCCGCCGCTGGCTCCCTGCCAGGCGCAGTCCCGGGCAGCCCTGGACCTGGAGGCTGCACCACACACGCTGCCACTCCAGTGCATCCAGAGGAGAGGACAGACTCACACCTCACCGACTCACCACTGCCCAGGGGCTGCCAGGCAGTGCTCAGGAGGGGCTCTGGGCGCTCACCTGAAAACCACCTCCGGGGCTGTCAGAGAGGCCCTGGACACTTTGGGGCTCTCTGAATTGGCACTGCAGGGCCTCCTGCCTCCTGTCCCGGCCCCTCCTGCTCCCTGCTTTGCCACAGTGGCCACACCCACCAGTCAGTCCAGTCCAGGGTCAGACTCAGGATCTGGGGTCACCCCAGACTCTGGCTTCCCTGCTTCCTGAAGACGTGAGTGCTTCTTGGAGAGGACAGACGGGGAGCAATGAAATCCCCCCCTCTCACTTGCACCCCTTGTCTCGTTTGCATTCCTACCCCTGCAGCAGGTCTGGCTCCACACCCCCAGGGCAAGACAATCTTGTTTTCCCAACAACACTGATTATGCACCAGACAGGGGTGGGGCCACGGAAAGAAGACAGAGAAGGAGGGAGGGCGGGAGGGCCGGCGGCACTGGCGGGGCGAGGGGGCAGGGGCAGCCCCTTATGCTGACTCAGCTGGCACTTCTGGGAGCAAACCCGCAGCCCCCCCAAGACTCAGCTCTTGTTCCCTCTTTTCCTTTCCCCCACTTGGGGGCTCCAGGTGGGAGCACAAACAGCTGGAAGGGGTGGGTGGGCCACCTCCATGTCCCACCTAAACTGCCCCCTACAGAACATGTCTTTGTTACTGACGCCCAGCCTGCTCATGCTCCATCCCTCTGTTGCAGCCAGAACCTCCAGTGTTGTCCCTGGAAGTGGGGGGTCTTGGGGGGCGGGCTGCAGCCACTGCCAGTCCAGCTGCTGCTGGAGAGCGTCACACCCGGTCCTGCCCACCCAGCCCTGGGCAATAGGCCCCGTCCACCGTGACCGGGCCCCAGCCCCCTGTCGCCCTCCGCTGGGTTCAGCAGAGCAGGGCTCTGTCCTCCTGGCCTCCAGGGCCCCGCCAGGCCCCACCGCCCCGCCGCGCCCCACCCGCCGGCCCAGGAGGAGGGAGGGCGAGGCTTGCCTGTACTCCAGGGAGAACTTGGTCAGCTCCCTGCTGTTGTGGAGCCACTTGAACTCCAGCGGCCAGCTGCCCTCCGCCATGCACGTGAGCACCAGGCGGTTGCCCTCCAGGTGCACCTGCGTCCGCACCGGCTCCGTCTTGAAGTACGGGGCCACGTCATCTGTGGGGAGACAGAGGACAAGTCACCGGAGGCCGCTTGCTCCCCTTTGTGTTCTCGTTAGGCGCCCGGATGCCCCTGGGGAGACCCGGCAGGTGGGGCCGGGCCAAGGGGCCGGGCAGAACTGGGGCTGTGCGCCCTCAGGGGTCCTGCTCCAGACTGAGCCCCCACAGCCACCAACCAGCCCCCACTCCCTCCTTCACAGAGTCCCGCTGCAGCTACCCTATGTCGCAGGGCTTCTGTCTCTCCCTCTCCGGGTCCCCACTCATTCCATGCCCTTGGTTGGCTTCTGGACGTCTCTCTCCGGGCAGGAGGGAGAAGGTGCCACCGCCTTAGTCACAGGGACTAAGTGTCCCTGGAGAGCAGGAGATACACTGGAGATGGGAGTCCTGCTCCCCCAGGCTGGGGGACCCTCAAACATCAAGGGCAGAGTCCACCCAATGGGCCTTGCCCCCGCCAGGCTGCCTGATCCTCAGCCCAGGTCGTGGTCAGCACGCCTTGCCCGCTCTCACACAGGACCAGCTGGCCGGCCTCTCCGGCCACTCCGCCCTCTGCCCTGACTCGTCGCCAGCGTAGACGGAGACCGTGAGCTCCCAGACCCTCCACCCCATGGACCTGGACAGAAATGGCCCTCCTGGCCAGTGTGGAGCAGGGATGTGATATAGACAGGGGTGACAGTGGGCACGGGACACGGACAGACGGAGGAAGGGGGGAGGGGCTCCGAGCCCGGCCCCGAGCTCACCTGCCCTTCGAGGTGAGGGGCCGGGGAAGAGGTGCACGGGGAAACAGCCCAGGCTGAAGCACCTGCTAGGTTCTGGGCTGTTCCAAGAGCCTTCACACCTGCTCATTCGACCTCAGGCACCCCCGGGCCACACAGGGTCGGGATCCACTTTTTAAGAGTCCTTAGAAGCCGGGCTTACCCGGCTGCTGGGAGAAGTGGGCAGCAGACCCACTGCAGACCCCCAGGGGCTGGGTGCCCACCGCACCTGACTTGAGGAGGGTGGGGTGGCTGCCAGGGTGGGAGGGAAGGACAAGACATAGACCCCCGTGCGGCCCCGCACCCCTGCACTTGCTAGGAGGAGGAAGCAGTTCCGGAGGCCACCCTGGGGGCCCGGGGCACACACACCTGCTGAGGGCTGCCCAGGCCTGCTGCTCGCCTTGGCTCTGCCCTGGGGACAAAGGGAGGGCTCCCCACAGCTGCTAAGGAGCCCCTAGGCGTGAGGCCCAGTCGCTGCCCCCTGCGCTCCCCATCACGAGGTACCCCAAGAGGCGTGGGTGTGCTCCAGGTCGCACAGGAAGCAGCTGGCAGGGCAGGCTGGGGATCCAGGCCTCCAGGCCCCCGAGGCGGTGGGGGTGGGCTCGGGACGCCTTCCTGGGCATGCTTGCCCTCCCACCTCCAGACACGGTGCGAGCACGTTCATCTTCCCGAGTCTCCGCTTCTCCAGCAGGAGTCACAGAAGGAGAAACAGCCCTGGGCAGCCTCGGGTCTCAGCGAGAGGCCTGGAGCAGCGGCGTGTGCCTGGCCCAGTGCCCAAGAGCGGGCATCCCTGCCAGGGCGGGGCTGCACCGTCCTGGCAGGCTGTCCGCCCGAGGATGAGGTGGGTACCGAGGAGTCCCTCCGGCACCCCCGGGGCCTCAGGCTCTGACTCCATCCTCCTAAGCTCAACCTACCCAGAATGGGGTGCCCAGGGTCTTTGGATGACAACTGAGGAGATGCCCCCCCTGGGACTTGGGTCCAGGGAACTGGCCGGCCTGCGTGGCGCCCACTCACGGCCCCAGTCTCAATCTTACAGATAACTTGCAACTTCTTGGACGAGTCTGCCTTGGCCCCTTCCCTGCTACTGGCCCTGACCCCAGTGGCCAGGAGGGGACACGGGGGCCGGTAGACCTGGGGCAGGTGGCTGAGCTGGTGTGCCCAGCAGCCCCGCCCCTGCCCGCTGGCTCTGCTCGCAGCCGCCTCCCAGTGACCGCCGAGGCTGGGATTTGATGCTGTGTTCACTCTCCATCCCTCTTCGCACAACTGTCCTGTGGGCAAACGGCCTTACAGATGGCAGAAAGGTGCCTCTTCTAGAGCGTGTACAGGGAGGGCCCTTCCCAGTGCCCGCCCACGCCACCCTCCCAGGGGAGCTGCTTCTGGGGTCCCAGCCTGCTCAGGCCTGCTGGAAGGGAGGAGAGGCCGGCAGGCACCCATTTGCCAGGGAAGATGATTCTCCACCCACCAGCTCCTCTCAGTTTAACAAACGGGCACATCCGCACTTCAAAGGCGCATTCATATTCTCCAGCAGCTTTCAAGAGCCCTTTGAATCCCATTTTCAAAAACCCTCTGTTAGTTCCTGTCATCACTCGTTTGTTTTAAAACAATAACATTCCCAGCCCCCCAGTGATTCAATCCCTTGGATGCGGGGCTGACTCAGAGCCAGCACAGCCAGCCGGGTGGGCGGTGGGGGTGCGGAGGGGGTGCTTGCGTGCACACGCCGGCACCCAGACACCCTCGCCTCTGCAGCCCGGCTGGCTGGGCAATTTGCTCCCAGGTTCGAATTTGCCTGTTCATTCCTTGGGCTCTCCGGGGGCACCAGCCTGGAGCCGAATGCCTTCTGCTTGGCTGGGTGGATTCTAGCAGCTGCTGGAAATGATGACTTGGGGGGGAGAGGCAGTGGGGAGGGGATACCCTTTCCAGAGAACCTGCTGGGCCCCAAGGCTGGGGGCATTTCTCGTCTCCCTTTATCCTCACACGATGGCCGGAGGGGCCAGGGCTCCTTCCCCCAAGGCCTGGGCTGTAGGATGGAGGGTCATATCCCCTTCCCATAGAAGCCCCTGCTTCTGAGTGGGGGGATGTGGGAGGCAAGACTGGGAAAGGACAGGGTGTCCGCCAGCTGGTTTGCCTGTAGGCCTGCTCTGGCTGGAAAGCAGGAGATGGATGGATGGGGGCTGGGTGGTTAGCGTATGTGCAGGGGAGGAAAGACAGGGATAGGGCAGGGGAGGGGTGGGGTGGCACGGTGCACCTGCCTGTGCTGTGCATGAGTCTTTGTGTGTGTGTGTCATTCATCTCTGGGTGTGCACGTCTGTGTATTCAAGTGTCTCTTTGTGTATTTATGGGCAGGAACAGGGTTCTAGGTTATAAATGGACAGATGGGTAACAAATCATTGACCCTGGGCCAGGGACTTCATCGCTCTGCATTTCCATTTCCTGAACTGTAAATTGGGGTTACACTCATTGTGAGGCTCAAGTAAATGAAAAACATAAAGTGTTTAGAAACGTGTTTGGTGTGCATAGGAGGGTTAGCTATTATTAGAATTGATCACATATGCAGCAGGACAGATCACCGTGGAGAGGCCAAAAAGGTCTTTACAGTCCTGGTCCTACGTGTGTGCAGTGGACAATACGTGACAGCCCTGTCAGAGACCTCATCAGTGGGACAGGGGTAACTGAGATGGATAATTACCCGCTGTGAGAACGGCTGGTTGGATAGAAGAATCAACATACAGACCTCATTCTCTTATACTTTTCCTCGTTTTGCAAACTCTCACATGAAGGGTTTTCTTTTTTAACGAGACAAAGTGATTCTAAAAAAGCCATCAGCAAACGAAGAGCCAAGGACATTGTGAAAAAGAGTGGTAAATAGAAGAGACTAGTATAGATACTGAACTATATTCTAAAGCCGTAATAACTAAAACAGTGTGCACGTGCACAAATAGACTGATGAAGCAGTAGGTCTAAAAATAGACCCTAATACATATGGAATTATTTAACATATGATGAAAGCGGAATTTCAAATCAGTGGGGGGAAATCAATTATTTAACAAATGGTTTTGGAATAGCTAGGGAGCCATGTGGGGAAAAAAGTAAAGTTGAGTCTCTTCTTCACACTTTACCTCAAAATAAATGCTAGATGGATCAATGTTTTAAACATGAAAAATGAAATTCTCACAGAACTAGAAAAAAATCACAGTGATTTAAAAATATCTAATCTCGGTGAAGCCAAGTACTTTCTAAGTACGCTACAAACTCCAGAAAGTCGTAATACAGAGTGATACCTTCAACTAGATAAAAAGTCTGGGAGGAAAAAAAAAAAAGCCAAATGCCCGTAAACAAAAAGAAGCGACAAAATGACAAACTGGGGAACTGGGCGGGAGGGGGGGTGGTGGGGAATATTTGCAACCTTTATCATGGACAAAGAGCTCATTTTCCCGACATAAAAAATACTCCCATCAATCAACAACAAAGAAGATGAACAGACCCACAGAAAAATGGGCAGAGGATATGAAGAGTTCACAGAAAAGAATTACAAATAACTCTGGAACCTCTACAAAGACGCTGAGCCTCACGATAAGAGGAAGACTCAATAAGCTGCCATTTCCCCGCCATCGCTTCGCTAAGATCTGCACGTATGATGCATGCCCTGGGCGAGCCAGCCCTGGAGACCCAGCGTGGCAGCATCTGGCAACTCTCAAAGAACTAAAACTGCACCACCCCCAGCCCCCTTCAGGGATTCATCCTCCCAGACACTTGCTCTGGGTGTCTGCAATGACAGCATTTCAGAGCAGCGCTATATTTTGTACCAGCCAAAGCTTGGAAATGGCCTGAAAGGCTGTCAAGAGGGCCCTGGTTAAAGAAACGATTGCAGCTCAAACAATGGGACCCCGGAGCGTGGGGCTCTGGAGCCATTTCTGAGCGCTGTGGTTAAGTGGGGGGAAGCGAGGTGTAGCGGAGGGTGTTGCCATTTGAATACACATTTTTTCCTCTTCAAGTACAAAAATATATTTGCTGGCATGTGCACAGGCATTTTCTAGGGGGTTCCATCAGAGTGGGCTCTGTGGTGCCAGGACCGCTTTTCTCTCTATACCTTTTTGTAACTTTCTTTCTCACGGCTTGCTGTCTTATCACGGACTTACATTTTGTTCTACAGTTTGCTCTGTAAATTATTACAGAAACCTTGCCTTAGCATAAAAGGTAACTTGCTTGAATTTCCAGAACGGTGGACTTGTCCAGAAACATCTGTCTC